ATTTACATATTCACAATTGCAACTTCACATTCCCATACTTCCATGGCCAGGAACTATAATTCTCTGGGACTCTCTACAGTTGGTGTACTGCTTAGCTTCTACATGATCTGTGCAATTGCATAAAACTTGGCAGTAAACTCAAAATCTGTAGAGAGGATCCTGCGAGCAACAGCTGAGCCAACCATGGTGGAGCCCACAGAGTCATCAGATTTCAAACCATTCATAAACATGGGAACAGAAGAATGGTATGAAAGATGTTCAGAGAGCAAAGATAGTATTTCCAATCAGGAGTATCTGACCTCCTCATACGACTTAAAGGTCACCAGTAAGGATGGTAACAAGTCATGGCGGGATGGGCTGATCATCAGACTCAGCATTATTGTTCAATGTTAGTCCCAATTCAGTAAACTGTGCCTGGATACGAAGGTCAATTGTGGGAATGCCAGACCATCTATTTCCAAGAAGCACAGCTCACCAAGGCATGAAGACACAATGCCAGGTTGGATGCTGTGATAAGGATCTAAGCTCTGAAGCATATTGCAAGGAAAGTTACAAATGTCTGAGGTGAAGTGAGGACACACTATACAAACTCTGGACTGGAAAAGTGCAGAAAGACCTCGTGTAAAGCTGAAGCCCATAAAGATGTACAGGATCTGATATCTTCAAGAAAGAGTTCCTAGCTGAAGTGAGGGCACGATAGATCTTCAGTACGGAACATCCATCCGCTCCCCAAGAGGGTGCAGTAAATATTCAGTGCCCTTGTGTATTTGACATGAAGCTGCTTAATGTGTGGAATAAATGTCAGCTTACAGTGGAAGATAAGTTTTAAGAACTTTGTCTCAACTATCACAGGAATCATGACACAACCTATGCAAAGCTCTGGATAAGGGTGCACACAGATGGTTTTAGATGACAAAAAAGGTGAAATGTTTACTGTTATCCACCCCCACACGTGAGTGAGGGCAGTCTGAAGCTGCTGTTCAAGAAGAAACTTCATATTCAATGATTGACAGGAAATCTGAAAGGTTCAACACAGAGGCAGTTTGCACTTGTAGGAAGAAGTTGTTCAGTCATAGCACTGGTCTTAATCCTAAAATGCCAGTGTTAAATTTTCAATCATTAACACCAGGTGGTATGGAGTCATAGTGACATTCTGGGGTTAATACTGAAAAGTGTGACACTCAAGACACAGTCTTGAGGGACTATAGGTTTTTGTGTGAAGGATTGGGACAATTTTGAATTAGTAGTCTTGAAGTAACCTGTGAAGTAAGAAGTTACAAATAAAAATGGGTAAATGGCCATGTAACCCTTACAAATGCCAAACCTCCATGTAGTGTTGTAAACCTTCTCAAGATCAAAACAAAATGTTCCCTCTTGAGGAAGGCTTCAAGTCAAATCAGGTGGTCTAGGTGGATTGCTGCCTGCTGAAGCCGCACTGAGTGGGTGAATGGAGGCTGTATGATTAAAGGAACGAAAGAGGAATAGCATTAACCATCCTCTCCAAAACCTTACAAAGACAGCTAGTTAAAGCAATAGGATGATAATTAGAAGGAATTTTATTATTCTTCCCGAGCTTAGGAAGAGGAATGACAATAACCTTATGTCCTGCACCTGAAAAATTATTTTCCAACCAGAAGAAAAGCAAGAGGGGCAGAAGAAAAATGATGCAGCATCTTATAATGAATATCATCAGGTCCAATTGATGTACTACCAGACTGATGTAGAGAAAACTTAAGTTCCACCAGCATAAATGGTTGAATACAGTCATAGAGACTATTGGCCCAAAAAAAAAAGAGGATCTTTTGGCTCATAACTTGATGGCTAAGAAGGCAGAAATGTGGAATGGCAAGAAAAGCACTCCCCAAGAGTGTCAGTAATACCTTTTAAATCAACAACTTCCCAATGACCTTCTGAATTTTATTCCAAAAGACCTTGAAACTAATGGTTAAAGAGATACCTGAAGTAAACTTAACCTAAGATTTCTTCTGGCTTTGATATCTGTCCTGCTGGGCATGGGCATGATCCTGCTGAAAAGTCATGTGGTTTTTGTTTGTTAGAAAAAGTATCGGCCTCCATGGATCATACTCCAAGTTGATGGGGCAGGTACTTGACAGATGAATTAGAATTCAGTGAGTACATGACTTAATAACAGTCCTGCACTTTGTGACTGATGAAGAGTGGACAGAGCATTCACTAGATTCTTCAGTAGGAACAGAAATAGGAGTTGAGGTTGACCAGCCTACTTGTTTACCCATGGAAGACACAAGACCTTTCACATGTTCAAAGAAAGACTCTGATGGAGGAACAGAAAGATCTATCTGCACCCTACTGTAGAATGGAGTGAAGGAGCAAATGTTTGAGTTGGAAGTGGTGATAACTTCTGTGCCTCAGGATAAATGTTGTTGACAGTTTTTAACTGCTGTAGCTTCTTCTCCACCCATTTAGGGCATGAATGAAAGTAAGAAGGGTGTGAACAACTACAGTTAACACAATATGGGACCAATTGACACTCATTGCTATTGTGGCCTTTGCCACCACAATGAGCACACATCAAATAAACATGACAGTCTCCAAACCACTGACACTGGAAACATCTGAGAGAGTTAGGAATATAGGGCCATACCTTACAGATCAGATAACCTGCCTTGACAATGGTAGGCTGCACTATTACACTTTTTCAAGTGGAGAGTTAAATAATTTAAACTCATTGCTTAGAAAAACCAGCTCAACTTGCTGACTCTGGGATGTTAATCAGGATCCTCTCATTGACCATTCCACTTATATATATCCCTGATGGACTTTGATTTTGAAAGAAATTCAGTATGTTTTGGCTGTTGTGTTTCAACCAACATATCTTCTGAATGTAAGTTTTTGACTTACCTGGGAGAGCCAGCAAGCTCCTCCAATCCTAGATGAAAGAGGGAAGCATCTGCCCTAAAAAATTGTCACACAACAAATGAAGAATTATAATCCAAAGTACAGAAACATTAGGATACAGTTATTGTGGAACAGTCTTCCAAATGTGTTTGTTTTGCAATTACTGTTTTTTTTTTCTGGCATTTTGTTTACATTTGTTTTGTTATCCAACAGACAAAAAAGAGAAAAGATTCAGTACCTGCTGACTCCACCCACTATAGAATCCTACAAAGGGTTGTGCTACACTGTAAAAATAGGACAGTGCAGCTATGCCAAGATTTTGTGGACATTATACCCTAACACCAGTACTGGACATAATGTTAATAGCACCTACTGAGGATGTCTGATACTAGCACTGGGAGGAGGGGGGCACACTAAGGCTACCTGTCTACAGGAATTTAAGATCAGGGTGGTGTGTTGCAGTGCCCTTGACACCACTGACCCACCAGGATCTTCTCCTCCCCCTAACAGGTTGCCATACATGGAAAACACATAGGTGGATGATTGGATCCCAGAGGAGGTAAACAGTACAGATGTGAGATAAAAAATTCTACTTTTATTTTGTCATGGTTTTGTTTACTATTCATTTGTTATTTCTTCTATTGCTTAGTTCAAATATGAACTTTTAATTCTATTAAAGTACTAATTCACCTTCTAGCTACAGCATATTGAACTTGAGTATGTTTGTATTATGAAACTGATACAAGCTTCCCCTAGTGGTGACATACATATATCAATGTTGTAAAAGATTATGTAAATTAACTAGTCACCTGAGATGTAACCTCATGGTCTAACCACTAAATAAAAACCTGTCCTTAACCTTAAATGAGTTAATTCACAAGATATAAAGGGAACAAATTACTGCTGACTGTTACTTACAAAAAAATGTTCTGTGTCCAAAGGGTGCCCTAACATATGCTAATAGCACACTGCACTCTGCAGAAAGAAACTATACTACTACAGAATCAGAATGTCTAGCCATAGTCTGGGCTATAGAAAAGTTAAAAATATACCGAGGTGGAGAAAAATTTACACTGATCACTGACTGTGATTCCTTGAAATGGTTACAGACGGCTTAATAGTTAACTTAAACTGATGAATTGGTCATTAATGTTGCAGGACTTAACATCTGAAATACTTCACAGAAAAGGAAATGAGAACCAGTTATCTATCTAGACATCCTATTGATCCTTCAGAAGAAACTCCAGATTTGGATGGTGGTAAGCTATTGGCTAAATGTTTTGCCATGGAGTATAGGTATTACTTGAAAACTGAACTGTTACCAGACAATTCTACCATAGTTGCAGAGACTATAAAATCAATCCAAACACTATATATTGAATGATAATGTTCTTTATTACACAAAAAAGTTGCTAGAAATGGTGCATACACACCAGTTATTTCCAAAACATTGCTACAAGCTAACTTACATAATCTTTCACAACATCAATATCTGTACATCACTGCTAGAGGAAGCTTTTGTCAGTTTCATAATATTCAAATTCAACGTGATCTAGCTAGAAGGTGAGTTAGCACTTTAATATAACTAAAAATACAAAGATGAACTAAAGGAGAGAAGCAACAATAAATGAATAGTAAACATAACCATACCAAAATAGAAGAACTTGGTATCTCACACAGATAGAACCCAGTGGTGTATTTAATGTCAGTGCAATTTAGACAACACACTGATGGACCCTTCATATTGCAACTCCTAAAGTAATGGAAAAAAAAAAAATTACTATACCTAAAGCTGATCAGTACAAACACCCCCCCCCCCCAACGAAAATTGCACAGAGTAGTATGAAGAGTTAAAAATGCCTCTGATAGAATGTTCCCTGGGAGGTCTCCTCACCATGTTTACAAGTCCACATCGAGGAGGAGTAGGGGATGATCATGTGTGTGAAATTATCTCCTTTATCTCAAAATTCCTATTTTACTATTTTTGGATAACTACATTAATAATAAGTCCTATATCTACTTGGCCACAAAGATACTGCCTTTGTATGATTTATTTTCCAACATTTCTGTAATAAAAACCTTTTTTTACCATGTTTTTCTTGTACTTTTTTCACTGCCATTAGTAAATAAGAGTTGTCAACCACTTCATATGATATTGGTTTAGGCTCAACTGCCAGATTTAGAAGGATTATACTTAGAAGTTTCTACTATAGAAGTGTATTTCTGCAAACAGTAATTTCTGGATATACAATTTCTATAACCAGTGACTGACACTTATGAGTAATTAATTATAGAAGTAATGCCAATGCATCACAGAAGCAAAGGGGAGAAGGTCTTTAATGCTAATTTATTGTTAGCAGCTTGCATGGGTCACTGTTGCTATTAGTGAAACATAAGAATATAACAAATTATAATTACTTATAATAATACTTCCTTAACTTAGTGAACATATTTTAAGTCTTAAACATCAGACTGTCTGGTGGGGAGGACATGACCCAGTGCTTAGCATGCCAGGCTACAGATATAAAGTCAATGCAACAGTACTACTGAACATACTCTGTTCTTTCTAATGTGAGTGTGTTATAAGTGTGAGTCAATCCTGTTATTCAGTTTAAAGCTGGACAAAGCCCTTGTGGTGGGTGGTGCTCCTGAATGACTGCCTTCCCTTTGGTCAGTAGTTCAAACTTAGGATGGCTATGTTTGTATCATTGGGGTCTTATATCATGGTTGATTAACTCATGTTTACACAATGGACCATTCAGTCTGACAATCCCAATTTCTTGGATTTTATTGGGCTAATCTGATGGATCTTGTAGCTTTAAGAATTTAAATTATAATAACCATTAATAGAAAATCTGAACTCTGTTATAAAAAATAATTTTATTTTGTGTTATACATGTAAATATAAGATGGATAAGTGAACAATCTTTAATGGATGATTTGGAAAATGTATTCATGATGAAACAAAGGTAAAAATTGGCACGAACTGTTTTATAGAGTAGAATTACTGAAAGTGTTTTGATAAAGAAGGCTAACGTGACAGTTTCAGGAGACTTCTTTTAGTGTAAACTTATGTAGTGCTTTGGGCATCTGAGGAAGCTTCTTTGAATGAGAAACTACCTATGTATTTTCTTTTGATGATGTTTTGGTATCTATGCTAAGCACCTGGTAGTTTCTTGTCTGTAGAAGTTTCTTTTTTTCACAGAATTCTTCCATTTTCACCTTTGTTTTATCAAAACAATCTAGTTAATGTTATCACAAACTAGAAATGTTTAAAATTTTATATCAAAACCACACTTATTATCAAGGTCACTTTCTAGATTTACTACTTTCTTCCTTCAGGTTATAACATATTGCAAGACGTGTTACATAGTTTTATAAATTTGTGTAGTGCTTTATTTAAATTTCATTCCAGTGTATAAACTTGACATGTACACTTTTAGAAAGAACATATTTGAAATTAATGAGAAAAATAATGAATAAATATGTATTCATTCAATTTACATATTAATGAAAATTCTCTCTCAAAACATTCACTAATGTTATGGTACAAAAATTTATACCTGGAACGAAGCTTAAAAAATGACATCGAGTTTGATAAATAAAAAATATTTTTTAAGTGCTCCAATTCTAGGTTTCAATTATCATTTTGTTCTTTTTAATTAAGAACATTCTTCTATTTTAAAACCTGGCATTTTCAGTTAATCTTTGAGACCATAATTACATAATTCAACAGTTTTTCACCTCACTCTTCCTTCAGTATAACAGATCAAAACCTTTGAATAGTGATGATAATGTGATAAATTTGAATGATGGCATGGATATGCTACCTGGACCTAAGTAATTCCAAAAGTTTCTTGTTCATAAAATAAAGGAATTCTCAGCTGAACTAAGTTTGCTCAGCAACAAACAAGACTTCTGACACAGTAGTCTCACCACTGTAACACATTACTATGTAATATAATAAATCAAGTTCAAAATGGTATTTAATTGCTACCAACTGGCCTCATATTGGACTTATACATCCAGATTAATGTAAAGATAAGAAACAAAAGTTGAATTTCCTCTTTGCTGGAATCATAGGATTTATGTATATTTGAAAAATGGCATTAACAAAACACATATTTGAAACTCACACAACACTAGTTCTTCCAATTTGACAAAATATTGTTTACTACTTTCAAAATATAAAATTTCCAGTACGTCCATGATAGAGAAAACTACCCATCATAAGAAGAACCTGTGACATTACATAAAACAGCATTAGAAATCAAACTTTTTATGTTTTTATCCTGATTTTAGTTTTACATAATCATGTGAAGTTTTAAATTATTTTGATATAAAATCACAACTGATTCAGCAACCTAAAATCATCAAACTTATAAGCATATAAATTTGACTGCTTAAAAAATATATATTTTACTTTATACCGTACTTATTCAAAAATAAAAAGTTATATTAATTTAATGGAGATTACATGCATGTCTTTTCATGAATTATTAAATGAAAATAATGAAAAAGTAAATGTCAATTGTTGGTACCATTAAAACTTTTTTTTATACTCAGTCAACCATTTCTGGTCAGGAGCCAATTTTATAAAAACAGCACTGGAATTACTCACAACTGGAAATAGGTTATCTCTGACAAATTGAACAGAACCAAAGTTAGAAGTGCGGGTTTTTCCAGCGGGAACATTATGAAGTTTCTGTGGGAAATGTTTAGGTTGATCCTTAAACATAGCAGGGATTTTCTGTGGTAGTTCTGCAGTATCTTCTACCTCATAAGAAGGAAGGGTAACGATTCCAGGCTGAATGGAGGTAGAGTTGAGTAATTCAATCTGTCTCTTAGCTCTTACTGCTGATGGGTGAATCTGGGAGGTAAAAAGAAAGTTATAAACTACAATATAAATTAACCACAAACTAAACTTATAAAGTGTGAAACAAACATTTTTTAAAAGTTAAAGTAGAATTTTATATATAATTCAACAAACATACCCAATAAAATGGTTTTACAAACATAGTCAGGTTTTTCAGTACCTTGAACTGACTATGAAGATGATTTTGCAGACAAAGTGACTAAATATGTACATGTTCTACTACATCTGTAAGATTGAACAGGTAGTAAAGGATTACATTTAAATCCTAACTGCCTTAATAATATCAGTATTTTGCCTTTTACATTAAAACTACATAAATGAGTGGTTAGCAGAATAGACACATCTGAATCTTCTCTAATACACTCACTTCTAGTTAAACCAATGGATAAATTCTATTAAAAAGTAACCGGTAGAAATCTGAAAAAAAAAAAAAGATTTGATCATATCACACAACCTTGCAATTATAAAACGTTACCACTTTACTTAATAGTACAAATTCCATGTACAGTTATTATGGCACAATGAGGCAGTTCCAACAAAATGTAACCACATTATTTAAGAGTGCAAAAACTCTTTTGTTCTGACATTACAACTTAATTTGTATGAAGAATAAAACAGAATCATGTTATTTTAACAGTACAAACCCCTTAACTTAGATATGCTACCTACATTTATGGTTGATGCCTTTACATTGAATGTTCTTTTACCACTCACTTCTGGGCAGTTGTCAGCCCACCCATAAGGAGCAAAAGGTGACTTGGGACGGCCTTTTCTATTTCCTGCAGTTACTGGTCGATCTTTTGCTTTTGGCTTTTCAGAACCTGATTAAAAAAAAGAAAGTCTTTGAATGACCGTTAAATTCTTCACCAGACTTGAGGATATTACCTGATTAATGAAACAAAAGTCAATTCATGTTGACAATACATGAAAGTAGAACATATCAACAGGCCCAATATGGCTGATAAAATCACATTAGACTACAGATGTTTTTTTTTCCACATTTATCTTAATGTTGAAAACAAAAAACAATCTTCAGTTTAATGCGAGTTGTATCATGTGTTTTCCTATTGGTTTAATTGCTTCTTCAGATTTTGTCTTTTAATACCATATCTTTAAGTTAAACATCATAATACAAACATGACAAACCATTATTCTCTCTTCTACTCAGAAGGAATTTTTATTAATAAACAGTTCTCAGTAAACATTTTAAACAAAATTCAGATTTCAAGAATGATGCGTTATATTTCTATTGGAGTGAGAATATTTTAGGTACATTGAAGAATGTTGCAGTATTTTTAAGCTTATTTGTGTGTGGTATATTTAAACATTGCATTTTGTAGTATGTTTGAAAGTCTTGTGTCATGTTTTTAAAATTTATGCTGTTTTCATCAGTAACATACTTTTGTCTCTACATTAAATATTCTTAAACTACACAGAAAAAGGCTTAAAAAACACAACACCCAGCAAAAACTTTGTTTTTTTGTGCACACGACAAAAAGCTTAACAAACCCCAAACCAGTAGAAAATGACCCAAAACATTTAGATATTAATCCCTTGGTGTTACTAAAGTAGAAAACAGATGAATCATCAAAAGTCAGGCAAGGTTTGGCCCAGGATTTTAAAGGAGGTCACAAATAAGGTATGTTACTCTCTCTCTTTCACTTTGGTTAACTTAGTAGACAGTTGGAACATGCTTAAGGATTGGAGAATTTCTTATGTTAAAAGTACTTTTAAAAAGCTGCCCTGGATACTATAGGTCAGTTAGCCTTACTTCTGTGGTAGGAAAGTTATAATTTTCCTAAATGAAAATGTATGTCCGATAGGTACTTCCCTCCACTTACAGGATTAGCTTTTCTCGTTTTGTTCTGCCCTCTATATGCAAAATTTTTTCAGAAATGCATGCCACAAGCCTTCATCTTCCCTCTGTTTGGAATCCAAAGTTCCAACACATCTCTCATTCAAATCATCATGCTTCACCTCTCCACCAACAGGTGAGCACTACTATTATGTGATGCACTACCCTATCACTTCGAAGTTTGGCAGAAGACGCGAGCACCAGAAGATGGTGGGTAGGACAGGTGGGAAGTGTGAGAAGAGGGAAGTACCTATTGAAAATACATTTTCATTTAGGAAAATTATAACTTCCGATAAGGTATTCACCCTCCACTCCCAAGATTAGACAAAACAAAGGCATATCCAGAGGGTACCCCGAAAATGAGAGGAACAGATCAGATGATCTGAGGAGAGGTACCACACCACATCTGAGCCAGGTATCTCTTTGCCAGGAACATCAACATGATTAGGAGGACCAGATATGGCGGAACATTAAATGGAGCACATCCGCGTGGGAGAGGATAGTTTAGCAATGTGATCTTAAACAGAAATCAGAATCACTCAATCCCATGATGGAAAGTGATGATGTGTCTCATGGCTAGAGTGCAATGGACTATACTAGGTAAGTCAACTACATCCAAAACCTCACTCACTGGGTACTGACATCATTGGGAGGGTAGGATGAGGATCATACCACCTTCACCTCAAGTCTCAGAGTCAAGAGAGAACCTAACATTCGACTCCAGGAACTCATAGGGTAGCCTAATGCCAAGGATCCAGGAATGTGTTATCCGGAATTCAAGGGAAGTCCATTGCATGCACTCAACCCCCAAGAATGTGAAACCAGCCCAAAATGACCCCATGTTGGTAACAACCTTGTCACCCAACGAGGGAGTACCCAGGATAGAAGTGGAAACAGGCTACATATACCTCCTGTGACCCACAACACAGAAGACAAGTCAAGAGGGGAAGATGGATAACCTGAAACCTGTGTGAGGACTTATGTGATTGGTTTACTCGATCTCCAAAACCTCACTTGCTGGGTACCAACATCCGCATGAGGGCACCCAATCAGAGGCATGAACTGCATTTGGGTGTTTCAGCTGCAGGAAATAGTCACTCATCCGGAGGATCTTGTAACTCACTCTACATTGGCAGAACGCCACCATCCTACTCTGAACTGAATGGTTATAGCCATTTTTGTGGAACCCATCCAGTAGGTTGCCTCCATGGTCAACCACCCCAGTGGCTTGGAACTGGTAAGAATCTCCCGTACTCCACTGGAAGAAAGGGGGGAGGGAAAGTGCAGTGGAGAGTCTGGAGGGACTGCAACAACTGAGACAGTGCAATGGGTGATCTCTATACCCTATTTTGAAAAGAAGACCACACCATTTTATTCAATCTAGGCATGGAAATGATGGGCAGCAATACCCTTCTACTTTACTCATGTCATCCATGGATAGTATGGTCTGGCATGGGCATATTATAACACAATTATCATGAGGAATTTACACTCTAGTGATCTTGTGAAACACCCTATCTCAGGGGTGAGTGTACATAGCCATGGAAATTGTACAAGAATCAACATGGCTTACAGTGTGGATTTGATATCAAGATATCCGCAAATGATTATAGCCATCTAAGTGGAACCCATTCTGAGTACAGACAGAATACCTGATCAGGCATCACTTGCCACAAAGCAGGATCCAAAGTGAAGCTGAAGCAGAGGCCCTTGAAAGAAAAGAAAGCACTAATGAGGGTTTACCTCATGCCACAGCCGTGCTGAAGTCTGTAGAATAGACACAGGCAGCAGGCAATATCCCAAGGAAGCAGAAACAGCAATGAAGTATAGGTAGTGGGAGAAGAACATGTGCACAGTCATCCACATGCCCGATCATAGAATCTCTTCCAATGGCTGACAAAGATGAGAGGCAAAGGAGAAAGTAAGGTGACGGACTTGATGTGGGGAAACGTGAAAGAGATCACCCTGAGAAGGAGACAGAGGAATAGGTCAACTGGATCAAACGTCGAACCCAACTGGTCAGAGTAACTGGAAAAATATCACTGGAAGAGGAAGGTTGCCAAGGGCTAAAAAGGTGGGAACGAGGACGCGGGAAGGAAGCCATGTGAGCAATAGAACAACAGAGGGTACAGACAGAACAGAGGAATCTATCTCGATCAGGATAAGGATAGAAATGAGATATAGAGGATAGGCAGATAGGGGAAAAAAAGGACTTATTGAGCCACAGAGGTCTCGAAAAGGAAAGCATGATCTGGATAATGGATAAGGTAGGAGGAGCGGTACAAAGTCCTGGTAACGTCAGGGGCAAAAATATCTGACCTATGATGCCCGCAGGCCAGGTGGAGGAGAAAATACTCCTTCTAAAAGGTTTGAATGGAGGTAAAGTGAGGACATGAAGAAACACATCACTGTCCCAGTCCAGGAGCAACTGACACCTTGGTGGATGATGTAGCTGGAAGGAACAGATCAACATGGAAAGGATAGGAGAAGTAAAGAACCTGCTGAAGTGTAGAAAATGTAATGTATGGGATAACACCGCCCAAAACCCCGAAATAGAGGAGACCAAAGAACCCCCTTTCAAAGAGCCACAGGAGAAACTCAGAGATACAGGCAACCATTGAGTGAGAAGTCTGAAAACCTCAAGTCAATACCCAAGAGCAATAAATGCTCCATTTGCATTGATAGAAGGCCAAAGAAGAAGGGTGAATGAAACAGGCTAAATATGAAGCTACTCTGTGAAACTGGAACTCCTTGCCAAGGACTTGGCAAAAGCCAGGCATGAAGACAGAGGATGGACAGTGTGGGATGGAGTGCCAGTGATTGGAGTTGAAGGAGCAAGTCGGGAAAGAAGGAAGAGGAAGGGGAGGGACCACCTGCAGGTGGAGCAACTGAGAAAACCAAGGTTGAGCAGGCCAGTAAGGAGCAATCAGAAGGACCATGCATGGAGTGGCATGAATGAGGGAGACCATCCGATGAAGTAAATGGATGAAAGGGTAAACATAAAGGAACAGATGAGACCAATCCAGGCTGAAAGAATCGACAGCCAAGGCTCAAGGATGGGGGACAAAACCAAGGTAGTTTGTGATTGAGAGCAGTGGCAAAGGCATCAATATGGGGCATACACAGATGCAGACAGAGCCACCAAAAAATGGCAAGATGCAGGGACCGGTCCACGAGATAAACTAGATCCAGTCAGGAAAGATGATCGTGATGATCAAATGTGATGTTTGTGGACCCAAAAAAGAAGACCTGGTACCATATGTTGATTGTTGGATTGGATAATAACCAGCCAGTGGCTGGCAAGAGAAAGAAGATGATCCCAAGCCCGACAAACAGCCAGGAGTTTGAGAAGAGAACTCTTATCTACAGACCAATGACCCTAAACCTTCAGGTGATCCACCCTGGCATCCCAGCTCTAAAGGGATGCATCTGTGAACAGACGTAAATCTGGCCAAAGAGGAGGAAGTGGAACCCCTGCCGACGTGTAGGCTCTGTTCAACCACCAATGGAGATCGTCTACAAGGGATGAGGGAAGGGATATAGAAGTATCCAAGGGATCCTAGGACAAGCATTCATTGATTATGAAGAACCCATTGAAGAGACCAAATATAGGGCCCTGCCAGGGGTATGAGAGGGTCATGGAGAACCACATCC